ACAATTTGGTTACTGCTTTAGTATTGATTCACTGACTACTAATATTTTGTATTTATATTGTGTCTTTCATATTAGAAAATATTTCAACGCTTTCCACAAAGATGGAGTTGGAGCTGGAGCAAGGTGGGAGGTATTGGGTACGAGAGGGGACGGCGAAAGGCATCGTCCAGAAAATAGGTTTTTAGAATGATTTGAAAACAGAGAAGGAAGAGGGAAGAAAAGTTGCTGTAAGTTTGCCTGCCAACGGTGGAGCATGTGTAAGTTAACAGAGCAAAGGGAGAGGATGCATGACAACCATGAAGTTAGCAACCGAGAGGACTTCCAGTGGGTTGGGTGAACACATCTGGGATTCCCCAGTTATGGATTATTTTGCTGCTCCTGCAACTTAGACCCCAATGTGTAAGTTACTCTAGAGCTAGATTCTGTGGTTATGATTAGATGAATGGAATACCAGCATTATTCAATTCTCATAACACTTATGTGCAAACCAACTTCTCATTCAAATTTAAAACTTCTTGTACCCTGAAAAAGTAAAAATGTCCACATCCTATAAAGTACATGACTCTGTGGTTTACTATGTCTAAACCAGTCACAAAGACAAATGTTATGGGTTCTTTGCTCAGTGGGTATGTGGTCAGATTCACACGTGGTAGAAGTAACAAACTAACAGTGGTAGTTATGCGTGCTGTTTATTACAGCTTGTTTAAACACAGCAGAAGTTTCTGTTTATGATGTTGGCTTCATCACATTGCTGTGTCAAATGTAACGCAATTACAAATAAGTCAACAGTCAGTCAAATATTTTTGCTGCAGTATTTAAAGCTATTTGGGAATTTTTTAGCTTTTATTTATTTTTTAAAAAAGTTGTCACTATTTTTCTGAGGAATGCTCAACAAACTTCTGGTTTTAGAAGGGGGAACCATGCTTCATTTACTTCCTGATGGTACCATATGTGGGTTTCAAAGGGATTTATTTACACTAAGTATTGTGATTATAAACACATGGATAAAGCTTTGCCAACCTATTGTTCATCGATATTTCTTTTAAATGAAGGCTAGACTTTTAAACTTGCCTCCAAACACTTGAAAATGCGAAACAGAGCTGTATTTGGAATGAAAATTACAACATTAGCCAAAACATCAGGACTCCTCTCCTAGGAATACACCCACTGTCAGCTCTGCTTTTTCCACAACCTGGAGCCAGACTTGACATAAAGAGCATGTGTTTTTGTAGTACTGTTGAATGTATTTTTTGTCAAATATTGTGACTTTATTTTTGTAGGCAAACATGGCAGCCATTTTATGCACTGCAGGCTCTCACAAACATCTATGAGATGAAGGACCAATTAATCTAGAGGATTGTTGGCAAGGATACTGAGAGAAACTCCCTTCACTTTTCCAATGGTGCTGTGAAATATTTAATGGGCACTTAAAAACCAAGCAGATACCAGCGTAATTCAGTTCTGCAATGGAGTGTCAGCATAGACTAAGAGTTAATATTCTAACTAAGGCTTGAACCCACAAGCAGTAAGAACAGTAACACATGAATCAAGCCATCACTGCGCTTTGCTGATACAATCACATTCAGAAGAAGAGATTTTAGGAGTTAAAAAAATTTATGTTTTTTTAAAAATAGCCTATTTGAAATAGTGTAGAGCACTGTTAATCGACACAGCAGTTAGCCTGATATCCACTTAGCTGCCCTCAGATGCGGAAATATTGGCAGTGAAATATTGGTGGAAAATGTTATTTGAAACATGCAATGTAACCTGGAATGCTATTTTAGATGAGCCTAAACTGGTGGGTAAATATGTTCATTCAGCAATTAGGTTTAGGTACAGTATATATTTAGAGAGGGAGAAAGTCAGAGAAAGATGGTCAGTGGGAAGCATTGAGACAAACAACAACAAAATTACATTAATATAGCACCTTTCACGTCGGGAGAACGTCCCATGGCGCTAGACAGTCAGGGTTTCAGATCTGAGCTGCATGTTGGGATCGAGGAGGATGAAGGGCGGGGGGGGGAAGGAGGGTGACCAAAGGCACAGTCAAAGAGATGGGTCTTGAGACAGGTCTTAAAGGAGGCAAGGAAGGGGGCAAGCCAGAGGGATTGCAGGATGGAGTTCCAGAGGTGGAGGGACTGCGGGATGGAGTGGGGGGAGAGTGGCAGAAGGTTCGTCCAATGGTGGGGAGGGCGGGGGACCTGAAGCAGGCCAGAGCCCACTGAGCAGAGGGAGTGGGCAGGTTTGTTAGCGGGTTAGAAGGTCGCAGAGGTAGTGGGGAGCAACACCAAGGAGGGCTTTGGAGATGAGGACCAGGATCTTAAACTGTATCCTCTGTGTGACGGAAAGCCAGTGGAGTCGGGCGAGGATAAGTTCATGGAGCCTGGTGCGGGAGAGGACATGGGCTGCAGAGTTCTGATTGATCTACAGCCTATGGAGGGAGGAGTTGATGAGGCTGACAAGCAGGGAATTTGTGTAGTCAAGCCTGGATGTTCAACCGTGCCTTCTCTTCAACCGTGCCTTCACCTCCCCTCTCGACTCTCTACCCCCTCCTTGCTCCCTCCCTTCCCTCCCCTCACCGACCATTTCCCCCCTGCTCGGGTCCCGACCCAACTGTCCAGCGTCTTGGGACGTCCTCCCAACGTGAAAGGCGCTCTATAAATGCAATCTTGTTGTTGTTGTTGATGTTATGAATGCGTGTATGAGGGTCTTGGTGGCCTGCGGTGTGAGACAATGACAGAGTTGGGTGATGTTGCGAAAGTGGGTGAAGCCAGAGCCGGTCATGGCACGGATATGGGGTAGAAAGGATAGTTGAGGTTTAAACAAGATGCCAAGGACTGGCTTAGTAAGGTGGAATGTGCATCCTTGGATGGTGATGCTGACAGTACCTGAGGTGTGGAGATGCTGCCGAGAGCCAATCAGGAGGGCCTCGGTCTTGTTGACGTTCGCTCTCATCCAGGACTTGATGTCAGACAGACAATCTGGCAGACAAAGAAAGTTAACCAACAACTTCTATGCTTATACTGCCTTTTCCGTACAGTAACATCTTAAAGCACTTCAGAGACTAAATGGAAACTTCAGGGGTTATTTTGGTCGGTCGGGTGTCTGACACTTACGGAAACCCATCACTATGTTTAAGGGTGTTCAAGCCAGACTTAAAGTTCCACTTATGTATTTTCACCTACACACTAAAAATTTGCACATGTCTAGAATGGAATGGGAACACTTTTCCTGCAGGGAAACAACCTGCTTACCTAATCCCAGAGAGTGCTAAGGAAGGGTTGACAAGAGCCATTGGTTGGGGACACCAGACTGTGCATTGGGGTCCTGCTGGAGCTTAACCAGCTAAAACCACATAACTTCCCATCAGGAAAAATGTCTGATGTCCTGCTGCTCACCCAGCTGTGACCACTCTACCTGTGAGGGCTTTAGCTTGCAGGGTTAACAGGAGTTGAATGGGAAGAATGCCTGCCTCCAGTAACTAGTTGGCCCTTCCAAGTCCTGCTGATGGTTCTGTCATCAATGCTCTGGAGTAATGCAGACTCGCCTGGCTTGGAACTGAACCACTAAGGCGAACAGAGGTTTGATTCGATTCCAACATTCTGTTGCTAAGCACGTTACCTTGGAACCAGATCAGCTCCAAAGAGATCCGCATTTACCTTCACTCTCCCCAGGAGGATGGAAATCTAAGCAAGGTGTGAAGTAGGAGAGAGTTGGCCATATGTGCAGTTGAAAATGTTTTTTAGAAGACCGTTGAATACAGAGAGGGAGTCAATACTTTCTGGAATTAGGTAAGCAGGATACACCCCTCTGGAGAGAATACGCATTCCCTTCCAACAATCTCTCTCTGGGATTTCAATGTGCAGGTGGGATGCACGGAAATCTGTTTGGTTTGGATACTCTTAAGTGATGGGTTTCCGCATATCTCAGACACCCAACTGACAAAAAAAAGAGGGAGTCAACGAGAGAGTCAGAGGGAAACAAATAAAGTCAGGAAGCTGGAATGTTAATAATACTTGCATTTTATATAGAGCCTTATCATGTCTTCGAGATGTCTCAAAGTGCTTTACAGAATATACTGTAAATTGACTGTAGATTTTGTGGGCGAAATGTGGCAGCGAATTGTGCACAGCAGTGTCCATCAGTCATGGATTAAGCGACAATTTTTTTTCCAGGGATTATTAACAATCCGCCAATGGACTCACCCTTACTAATGTTAGAGAATTAAAGAGAAACAATCAGAGAAAGGAAGAGCAAAGAGGGAGGAATGCCATAGAGTGGTATTTAATTGTGTCAGCCCCCTAGGCCTGGTTTAGACCCCCAAAACCACTTTACACGAACTGCGCGGTAAACGTCCCACAAACAGCAATGCAGTGAATAACCAATTTTATTTGGGAGATTGCCAGCCAGGACACTGGGAGAAACTCCCCTCTCTTCTCAAACAGAGCGATGCCATGTTTAACGTCCGGCTGAAAAGGCAGACAGGCCAAGGTTTAACGTCTCATCCAAAGGCCGGCACCTTTAACAGTGCCGCCACACCCCCCACCCCGGCATTGCACTGGAGCCTTCAGCTTAGATAATGGGAAGTTCCAAACTACAGCAGGAGCTGGGAACAGGGAGAGAGAAGTGCACCACCAGTAACCTGAAGAGACCAATGATGCCTGATGTCTGCACACCCCTCCCTCCCTCCCTGTCTGGAGATGGAGAGGCACTGTCTGGGGATGGAGAGGCACCAATTGTTTGCAGCACAATAGTAGCCTCGCGACCAGGAGGTGGCGCGCAGGCGTATTCCCCCTCCCAGTGCTCGCGGCCTCCCAGGGCGCTCCCGGGCGTTCGAACGGCGCGAGGAGAGCTGCACGCCGGGATATGCAGTCCTCCGTGGCCACGGCGGGTGGGTCACGAGCGCCCATTCTGACTACAAGCCCCAGAGGGGCCCCGTGTGACGGGCACGGCGGTGTGAGGCGGGGCGCGGGGGGGGGGCGGGGCGGTGAACCCTCGCGATGTTTGGGTTTCGGCGCTGGGGCTGCTGTCGGCTTGTGATGTAGGAGCGGCGGCACAGCACAGCGCAGAGAGGATGTCGGGCGGTGACAGGACTTCAGCCATGGGTGAGTGTCCGCTGCCGGAGCGGCTCAGGCCGCCGTGAGTAACGTGCGTCCGCGGAGAGGAAAAACCCGAGGAGGAGGAGAAGGAGGAGAAAGAGAAGTAGCGACGGACGGAAGGGAAGCGTTGGGCAGGAGAGCGGCGGTTGGTGCCGGGCGGCGGCTCGGAGCGGGAGCGCGGGCCTTTGGCCGAGACGGCAGCCCCCGGGGGGCGGCGGCGGGGATGACTGGTGGGGGCGGCGGGTGTCCAGAGAGGAGGGCGCTCGGGGCGGGTCGATGGTTATTTTTATTTTGGGAGCCGAGTCCGCCCTCTCCTTCCCCGCGCTTCACCGTTAAGATGTCCCCCCCCCCCCTCCTCCCCCCGGTGCCGGGAACAAACCGCCGCCACTACCACACCCAGTCTGGGGGGGGGGGGGCGGAGGGGAGGGGCGCCGGTACAGCGGGGAGGGGAGGGGCGGGGAGGGGAGCGGGGGCGCCGGAGCCATTTTATGTATTAGTGATCGCGGCCCTCACCGCGCGGGAGCCCCGACCCCCGGGCTCACAACGTGTCAGCGGCGGCGGATCCACTCTCTCCCACACACACCACACACACCACACAGCGTCCAAACCGTTCAGCGGCGCAGTCTGATCAACAATCCCCCCCACACCCCCCCATCCTCTCCCCCACACCCCCCATCCTCTCCCCACACCCCCATCCTCTCCCCCCACACCCCCATCCTCTCCCCCCTCACACCCCCATCCTCTCCCCCCCACACCCCCATCCTCTCCCCCCCCTCACACCCCCCATCCTCTCCCCCCCACACCCCCATCCTCTCCCCCCCCACCCCCCATCCTCTCCCCCCCACCCCCATCCTCTCCCCCCCCCACACCCCCCATCCTCTCCCCCCCACACCCCCCATCCTCTCCCCCCCCACACCCCCCATCCTCTCCCCCCCCCACACCCCCCATCCTCTCCCCCCCCTCACACCCCCCATCCTCTCCCCCCCCCACCCCCCCCCCCACACCCCCCATCCTCTCTCCCCCCCCTCACACCCCCCATCCTCTCCCCCCCACACCCCCATCCTCTCCCCCCCCACACCCCCATCCTCTCCCCCCCCCACACCCCCATCCTCTCCCCCCCCACACCCCCCCCTCTCCCCACACCCCCATCTCCTCTCCCCCCCTCACCCCCATCTCCTCTCCCCCCCTCACCCCCATCTCTCTCCCCCCCTCACCCCCCATCTCCTCCCCCCCCTCACCCCCATCTCCTCCCCCCCCTCACCCCCCATCTCCTCCCCCCCTCACCCCCCATCTCCTCCCCCCCCCCTCACCCCCATCTCCTCCCCCCCCTCACCCCCCATCTCCTCCCCCCCCCTCACCCCCCATCTCCTCCCCCTCACCCCCCATTCTCCTCCCCCCCCCTCACACCCCATCTCCTCCCCCCCCCCTCATCTCACCCCCATCTCCTCACACCCCCATCTCCTCCCCCCCCCTCACCCCCCATCTCCTCTCCCCCCCACCCCCCACTCCTCTCCCCCCCACCCTCCCCCATCCTCTCCCCCCCCACCCCCCATCTCCCCCCCCACCCCCATCCTCCCCCCCCCACCCCCCATCCTCTCCCCCACACCCCCCATCCTCTCCCCACACACCCCCATCCTCTCTCCCCCCCACCCCCATCCTCTCCTCTTCTCCCCCCCCATCCTCCGCCCCCCCACTCTCCTCCTCTCCCCCCAATCCCTCTCCCCCCCCATCTCTCTCCCCCCCCCCCATCCTCTCTCCCCCCCCATCCTCCCCATCCTCCCCCCTCCTCCCCCGCCCCCATCCTCCCCCCCATCTCTCTCCCCCCCCCCATCCTCTCTCCCCCGCCCCCCCATCCTCTCTCCCCCCCCCATCCTCTCTCCCGCTTTTACAACTTTTACAGAGATGTAAAAACCACAATTAATAAATGAAGCAAATCACATGATTTCCCTTCAGTTTACCCACTTAGAAAAACAACCAACGTCCCTTCAAGTCTTATTTTCTTTTGTGGCCTAGGAGGGTTACAGCTTTTTTTGCACAAAGATCTTAGTGCTTATGGTGATCACCAGTAAAGCAGTCAGTAAAGAAAAATCTTGAATTGGCAATTTTTTTTATGATTAGTAATTTGGTTGAGTCTACTAATTCTTCTGATTTTAAAATAACTGGATTTTCATAATCTGTTTTATAGTTCATCATCAAAGTACCCGGATGTACTTATCATTTGCTTCCAACACTTCTGCATTGTTGAAAAATAATTACCCTTGGTGTTCACTAATTTGTTTTGATATTACTCACATGATGAAGGCATGGGGTTCACTTCCACATGTATGTGGTTGACCTCTAATTTTATCTGTCAATAGCCTTGATTCCATGATCAATGTGGTTCTGACTGATTACATGTCAGTCTTTGATGAATTCTAACTTTCTACAGTTAAGTATCGATGAGACTGAGGCTTTCCTGCTTGGCTCCTGTCAGTCCGCTCCTCACCTCAGGTGCTGACAACAGTGGCCTGCATAGATGCTCACTCGAACTCAATGAGCTGGTGTGTAACCTCAGTGTTTTGTTCATCTATCTACTGTCCTTCACATCCTACACCCTTGTTCTTACGCACTTAGCTTTCCCTTCTTCAGCATTGCCTGTCACCCACAACTTTCACTCCGTTAGGTGACAAAACCTATCACCCTCATACTCTTGGTTCCACTTGCTCTCCATCCCCCAGAGGATCAAATTAAAAATTGTCGTGCTCACTTTCAAATGCCTTCAAGTCCTCACTACATTCTACTTCTGCGACCTCCTGTAATACATCTGCCTGGCTACTCTGCTCAGAAACTCGCCTGCTTCATTTCATACTTCCCTCCTCCACACCCCCACCCCCTTTGCTCTTCCATAAGGAGAGCCTTGGTTCTTGCCAGCCAGTGCCTCATCCAAAACTCTCTGGAATTAGGTAAGCAGGATGCATCCCTCCAGGGAAAGAGTGTGCATTCCATTCCAAAGTGCGCAAATTTCTACGTGCAGATGGGATGCATGGAACTCTGGTTTGGATACTCTTTTAAGTATAGTGATGGGATTTCTGTATGTATCAAACACTCTGCTGACCAAAGGAAATTAGTCGATAAGCTTTTTAGCAGTCTGCACCCACTCTCTGGAACTCCATTCCTCAGTCTCGTACACTGCAATTTTTCCAAACGGGGAAGAAATAATTGGTCAGTGGAAGTCGACAGGATAGTTGTAACTACATCTTAGAATTCAAAAGATTTGTCAGATTTACATATGCATCTTTATAATTCAGGATGCAACCCCATTTTGGGCAGTTGCTATGTATTGTGCAGAATGCCTGTTAAATTGATGCTGCTTGCAATGAATGCTCGATTTTGCCAGGCAGATTAGTACGGGCCCAGAGGGAGTATTGACGACTGAACTGCTTCCAATAACATTGCTTGTTCATTGTGCTGTTAAACAGGAAGTTTCCAATGCTTGCCTTTTATTAACCGACTCCAAAGCCATGTGAAATATAGGAAGTATTATGTCTAATTCTTATACTTGGTTGACCACAGTTACGTGAGCTTCCTCATTTAATCTTGCGTGCCCTTCTCACCGACAAGCAAAGAGTAGGTGGTCTATTTCCGAGCTTCTAGTCTTTTGGTGTTACAGATGTTACAGACTGCCTTCGGGTGATTCTTGTTTTGAGGAAACACAGCCAGTAGTGGTACGCGTTATGTCGAGAGGAATAATAATAATAATAATTATTATGTCAAAAGGAATGTGACGTTGGTGCATATTCCTTATAGTAAAACTTTCATCCTACTCTCAAACTTTTCAGTCCTGGTATTTATCGTGAAAATCTAATCATTTACATTAGAATCTTATACCAACAACTTGCATGTATATAGCGCCCTTACGTAGGTAACCTCTTGGATAGCTTAACAGTGCCATGGCTTGACACAGAGCAGGAAAGAGTGAGTTGACCAAAGACACAGTTGAAGAAAAAAGTTTTCAGGTGTGATTTGAAGACAGGCAAAGAGAGGGCAAGACTGAGGGATTAAGTTCCAGAGTAGCTTGGTGGCTGTTAGAAAGGTCACCGTTGGTGGAGCAGAGGGGATGAGGGCTATGCAGAAGTCACAAGAAAACTGAACAAAGGCAGAAGAATAGGATGTGAGCAGATCGGAGAGGTGTTAAGGCATGGAGTTATTTAACCATATTAGAATACCTATCAACTATAGCCCAACTAAAGTCTTCTTGTATGAGTCCCAAGAATTTCCCTATGTTCTTAAATTCTATCTACATATCAAACCAAGAATTCTATTTGACTTTCTTCATCTGATAAACATGTGACAACCATTTTTGTTATCGGAACTCATGCCAACTCAGTTCACGTTGAGACTACAGAAGGTCATTTCCCTTGAATCCCTTAGTGTGGGGGTGGGGGGGGGGAAGGGAGCAAAGGAAGATGCTTCAATTTGCCAGTTTGGTAGAATTTATATGAAACTATTTCACCTGAACAGGTCCTTATCCACTGAATAATTTGTAAACCTGCTTGTGTCTGTGCATGGACCAGGTGGCTCAAAAACATCCACTAGTCATTGATCTGAGTTTGTTTCTAAAAATGTCCCGATTTTGATTTGTAGGAATGCAATTTTTATAGTAAGGGTAACAATTCAGGTTGTGCATTGAAGTACTAAACTGCAAATTAAATGTAAAACCCATGCGTAAGCTAATTGACTTAACCTTCAGACAGAAATGTCTTAATACTTTGATGACATTGGAGGAGATTGAGTCTGTACAGTATGTTAGCTAGCCTCTGAGCAAGCTTTCTTTGTGGGAAAAAAAAGTCTTGTTCACCCAGAGCGTATATGTAGGAATGTTGGCATGATGGTGCAGCACATGAAGTAAGGGTAATGACATTCTTGACTAAAACATTTACTCATTGTTAGTACCTTCAACTGATAATTGCATGTGAATATGGGGTACTGCAGTTTAAATCTTGCATTATTTCAGGAAAGAGCTTTGAGAATGTTTTTAAGTTACCAAAATATAAAAATGATCAGCAGTAGTTGAGATTGATTCTAAATTAGCAAATGGTACACGTTTGACAAAACTGTAAACAGTACTCTGGATTTTTCAGGGGCATAAGCTTCCTGAAAGGTCCAAGCTATATTTGGCAGCTTTTACTGAAGTTAAATATTTGATTTAATATGTAATTAAGTGAAATAATGAGCAAAATAATAATATGCTGCATTTTAATTATCAGCAACTATATTTTTATTGGGAATAACATCATTTGAAACACTGAGACAAGTCATACATTGACTTGTGCAACGAGCAATTTTGACAAGTCTCTGGATGTGTCTTAACATGACTTGGAGTTTTGCCCTAATGCCATTCTTGGTTTTAGCTTTTGTATATTATTTTATATCATTTTAAAATAATAATAATTTATCACTCAGACCACGACTAATTTGTGGGACATTGCTGTGCGCAATTGGCTGCTGTGTTTTGCTCACAAAATACAGTCAGTTCACTTTACAGTATATTCTGTGAAGTGCTTTGAAACATCTCAACATAATGAGGAGCTTTTTCAAATACAAGTATTATTATTGTGATGATGATGGGATTGTGGAAAAAGGAGGCTCCTACCAGGTAATCTACATTGGAGTGGAGTTCCCGTGGATTGGCCTCTTGACTGTGTGTGTTACAAGTCCGGCAAATTAGACCTCAATCAACAACATCTCTTTAATTTTACTTTCTAATTTTAAGTTGAGGAAAGCCAAGTTATCAACCTTAGAGAGAAACTAACCAGTGTGAGTACATCTGGTGCATTTCAGCAAATGGTATTCTTTGGTCCTTAAGAGAATCTTTCACGCAGATATCCCAAGAAATAAGTAACAAGTAGTTTGAATGTGAACTATTTGACCTTTGACATGTTGCAAAGTATTGACTGTTTACCTTAAGAAGTGTATGCATGCTTTGCATTTCTAAAGACTAGTACATGTGTCCTCTATGGAATTATCTTGCAATCTGCAAATTGTTTTCTAACCAATTGCATTGTACTTTGGATTCCTGCAGATACCAGTCGGCAGTCAAACATGGAGGGTTTCCTTCTAATTGTTGTATCTTCACATTTAATACACGGTGTAGTACAGCTGGACTACTTTAGAATGTGCTTCACTAGACTATGGGTGAGGTATACTTCTGGTGTTGACTGTCCGGCTTCCTGTGCAATGCAGCGCAGGCCTTTCAGCTTCACCCTGGTCACTGTTTGTGAGCTGTGCATATGCACAGAAACCTGGCTAGATAGTGCTGGAAATCAGCAGTAACATCAGTGATGACCTGATAGCCTGATGACCAGAGGCCCGGTCTTGCAGCCATTTTTATAATGTATCCCTTTATAACGTCTTGTCTGATTTTTTTTAAGACTAGAACTATCATGTTAAAGAGGCGTGACTGTGTACAAACAGTCAAATCTGGAAATTCTTTGCAAAGTAAATTGAATATTTGTGTTTTTGCTTTTTAATTTTTTTCTGGGCACATGCTGCTGATCTAGAGCAGGTTATGATAATCAACAACAACAATTTACATTTATATAACCCCCCCTCATGCAGGGTAGCGTCTCTGATCGCTTGACAGTCACGGAGCCAGGGTGAGGTGACTGTAGGCACGGTCAAATAGGAAGGTCTTCAGGCGCAACCTGAAGATGGGGAATGAAGGAGCAAGGCAGAGGGATAGAGGAAGAGTGTTCAAGAATTTAATCACTATATCTTTACAAAGATGATCTGGGAACTTTAGCTAAAAAGAAGGCAGGGGAGGTTGCTGAGGTCCAGTGGAAGACAGGTTACATAGCTACATGGTATTTGCATCACAAAGCTTCTGCCCTGCTATCATTGCAATTGCTTGACGTCGCTTCATTTTTTTTTGGTCAACCAGGTGTCTGACACATGTGAAAATACACATGGAAATTCCAGAGATAGATCGTTAGAATGGAATGGGCACTATTTCCCTGGAGGGCTACATCCTGCTTATCTAATTCTGGAAAGTATTAGGCGCAGGTTTGCAAACGCCGAAGGCTTGGGGATCCCAGAGTGTGCATTCGGGTACTGTTGGAGTCTAAAATTAGCTAAAACCACATAACTTGCCATTGACAGCACTAGCTGGCAACCTTTATCGCTGCTTGTCCAGCTCGGACCACCCCACCCATTAGGGCTCTGGCTTGCTGGGTTAACAGGAGCTGAATGGGAGGTTCACTGCCTCCTGTTACTGGTTTGCCTTTCTAAATCCTGCCAATGAGCCAGGCTGGCTGTGCTGTCATCAAGGTTGCCCCGGAGTACAGCTGACTGCCTGGCTCAGGAACCGGACTACCGAGCCCCCCACAGAAGGCTGGCTCGATTCGGACATTCTGTTGCCAAACATGTCACTTTGGTATTAAAACTCTGATTTAGATTAATTATGAGCAAGTAGAAAAGTGCACAGTCATTTTTATTTGCATTTCATAATTACTCTTAGGTCAGATATTGCACAGACCAGCTGCAGAGTAAACCATCCTCTATTCTACCCTAACAATTTGACTTGGCACCAATCTCTGAAGAGCATCCCTACTGATTCAATGTTACTTTATTCAGTTTTGCACCCAGATGTCCTCAAGCCTTTGAGGTTGTCAATTTAGTGCAAAATTTGAATCTGTTGTGTAGAGTCAATATCAGCTAAGAGTTGGGGGAGCATATCCAAAGTATTTTAATGTAGGACCCTTGCAATTAGTAAAAAGCAGACGTGTATCACATCAATCTGGGCTGGATTAATATTAGGATGCCAAATTAATCCCTCTGTATGTTTTCACCCACTCATTGCATCATACCACTTGTCTGCAGTTTAATTTCCGAGTGCAACTATTTTGTGAAGTTTGTGATACAAATTCTGTAGAATTCTGTCAGGTTCGATCCACAACTTTCCTTTCTCCCCCACATACATTCCCTGACCTGGACTGCTCTTTTCCACCACCGCCACATTAATCGCCTCCATCCGTACCCTCATCCACGCCTTTGTCACTTTCCGGCTGGACTTTTCAAATGCCCTCCTCGCTGGTCTCCCCAATTAATTCAGAACTCTGCTGCCTGGATACTAACCTGGTAAAACTCCGTACACCCCATCAGTGGTCTGTTTTTAAGGGTAAAGCTATGAACAGCATTGACGAATGCTGTGAATTCTAATTTGGTGGGGAGGAGAAAGTAGAGCTCTGTTTGCCAGCCTCGGACTTCTGCTGAGAATTTTAGAAGAGTTGTCACTATTCCAACATTACAAACTTGAGTGATGCAGTGGATCTGGCCTCTTTTTAAACTTCGGTTTGAAAGATTAGGAATTTGGCTTTACTCCTGTGTGAGCTTGAAGTGTGAGACTACTACCTTGTGGTCAGCTTGTGCTAAATTCCTAAACTAATTCTTATTTGTCTGGCTTTAATAAAACATTATTATACTTGCATTTAAATTGAAGCAGTTTGAGTTGAGATTAAAGGAAGTTAATATTTTAAGTGATTCATAATGTGGTTTGGTAAGAAGTATAAACTTGATTAGATGCGATCCAGTACCAAATTCTACAAGATTTGGCATTGTGTTGATGGTGACACCATGACTTGCCTCTGGCTCACTGAGTGGGAAGAAATACCATCAAATCTATATCCAATTTCCATTCTTTGTTCTTAAATTTTCAATTTTGTATTTATAATAGATTTAAGATTCATCATATGTTAAATGTTCTCATTTGTAACTTTATTAGTTCTCGTCTTTATTTTTACATTGAGGAATTTATGCTTCAAAAGGCCACTACAGTGATAGATGGCTCTCCCAACTAGTGAGCTGGAATTTATCCAATGTTAACCAGCATTCAAATTCTGTTAGCCTTTTTGGATGACTTTTCTAATGATTCAGCAAAGTTCAGGTTGGAGCTTTGGCTCTTAACTGTTTTTGAATGCCAGGTTCGCAAGATTAAAAAATATTGCAGTACACCGACAGTTTATTTGATTTAGCCAATCCAACGTAGTTTCCATGATGAGTGATTGAAGTAATTGTAATGAGCTTTGTGGCCCAGTCATCCCCGTCACAAGCTGAAACAGGAAATGCATCAATTTGGAAATGTAGAAGTGGCACGTAGTTTGAAAGAGGATAGGCTAACCATTGAAATACATGCTAACAACCATAGATATGATGATAAATGAGATTTTTGTTACATTTATTCCTCACACTCGTGTTCAAATCCTTTCACTTTCTGGTACCTCCCTACCTCTCCAACCTTCTCACTCCCAGTCTACCACCCTGTGCCTCCGCTCGACTGGCACCGACCTCCTGCACCTCTCGCACCCTCCGCTCCACCATCAGAGGTCGGGCTTTCAACCACTACGCCCCAAAACTCTGGAACAATCCCTCAATTCCTCCGCTTTGCCCCCTCTCCCCTTTTTCAAGTCCTTACTGAACAAACCTTCCTTTTCGACTGTGCTTACGGTAACCTCCGCCCCCCCCCCCCCCCCACGGCTTAGAATCAGGCTCTGCCATTATTAGGTGCTCTGAGATGCTACCCTGTGTGGAGGACGCTACATAAGTGCAAGTTTTTATTATTTGTAATGACCGTTTTAAATAGTAATAAGGGGTAAGGGTGATCTTAAAGAAGTCTTGGGGTGAATTTTGAAAATGGGGATGGTAGTCAAGGAGGAGAGAGATTCTCAGACCAGCTGAAGCTCATCCACCGAATGAGGAGTGGATCAAGTGGAGAAATGTCAGAATCTCTGTGGCTGTCTCTAGTCTGGTTCCTGAGCCAGGTGTGTCCTCAGTAGTCCAGGGCACTGCTGACAGCACAACCTAACCTAACATCACTGAGACAAATCTTGTACCTAAGTTATAATTATAAATTATATTATAATCTCAATAAAAAATAAATAAAATTGGTCGCTTCAATCCACGACTGTTTGTGGGACCCTGCTGTGTGCAATTGGCTGCCGCATTCCGCCCACAAATATACAGTCAATTCACTTTACAGTATATTCTGAGAAGCGCTTTGAGACGTCTAGAAGACGTGAAAAGTGCTATATCAAATGCAAGGATTATTATTAAGATATGAAGCAGGCTGGTGTTTGTTGAGCAGGTGAGCAACCAAGGCAGAACAAAGGTTGGGACAAGATTTGGAAGTGAGAATGGATAATCGATTGAACTTTGTTTGAATGCTCTATTTGTACTCGCATCTAGTAGTATAACCTTAGCATAAAATTACAAAGAAAAGTAACCAAATCACTGAAGGAAAAAGCAAATTGTGGAATATAGTACAAGTTTCCATTGTCAAGGCAGAAGTTTTGAAAAACATTATACATGATGCAGCACTCCAGAGTGCATACATTTATTTCAACTTTTTAAAATAATTTTGGCAAATTTATTGACTTATAAATTTCTTAGTTATCTTGGCACAGTTCATAAACACAAAAAGTCAACAACAGCAAGTAATCAGTTGTTATACCACCTGATGGTCTGCGTGTAAATTCTAACAATCCCGTTAGCCTTTTTGGATGATGGTCCTCACAGAGAATGTGGGGGACACTACCTCTAGTTTTGTTTATTGGTGTACTGATGTCCAGAGGTCTGAAGCATCTTTTTGAATTATTTTGTGAACTTTCATTTAATTTGTGATTTTTTTCACGTAAAAACACTGTAGGGAGAGGAAGCAGTGAGATGGAGTTAACCTGTTTCCATGTATCAACATCGTTAACATTAACAAGCTAATGTTTTAAAAAAAAGTTTCTCCTGGTTATCCTGGCCACAAATCGTCCAAATAAACTTGGTCTTTCACTTCATGCCTGTTTGTGAGACATTGTTGTGTGCAAATTGGGTGTCAGGTTATCTACAAACATACAATCACTACACTTTACATTGATTCCTATGAAGTGTTTTGAGGCATCCTGTTGACATGAAAGGCACTATGTAAAATGCAAGGATTTTTATTATAAAGATGACTGGTTCACTTTGTTGAATGAATTTGTTTTATTTGTGATCAATTATGACTTCTAATTTTTCTATTATCTTTTACATATTCCACTGGATGACCCTTACGCTACTCCATCTTGGTTGGACTATTCTCTTGTGGATCTGCTTCATTGATCTCTGAAATGCTGGATTATTGGGCTATACAGCTGTAAGTATATCAAGGTGGCAACTGCGCTTCCGAATGTACATCCTCTTTGGTCTTTCCTCCATGGGGAAAATGGTTCGGCTTCTTGGCACTTCCTCATAGCGTGGCTGACATCAAAGCATCTGTCATTTGGGGTATTTCTACCTCGCATCCGTGCCATGACCCGCTCTGCCTTCCCCTACCTGAACAACATTGCCCAGTTCCTCCACTGCCTCACCCCTCAGGCCGGCGAAACCCTCATCCATGCAGTCACCACAACTAGGCTCGAGTACACCAACTCCCTGCTTGTCGGCCTTTCCTACTCTGGCTCCCCATTCTCCAGCGGATAGAGTTTAAAATCCTCGCCTTCAAGACTCTCCACGGCCTTGCCCCTCCCAACCTGTCTGCTCCCTCTGCTCAGCAGACTCTGGCCTGCTCCACGTTCCCTGCCTAGTTCGCCCCACCATTGGCGGTCGGGCCTGCTGCCCTCACCCTATACAACTCCATCCCACATTTCCTTTGTCTCGCTCCCTCCCTTGTCTCCTTAAAGGCGCATATCAATACCCTCCTCTTCGACCGAGCCTTTGCCTGCCCTTCACCCTCCCCAATCCCGACCCCCAGCTCAGATCCACATTCCTGACTGTTCAGCGCCTTGGGGTGTCCTCCCGATGTGAAAGTCGCTATACATATGTAATTTTGTAATATGAGTTCAAAGAAGTGTTAATTGTTCAGATATAGTAAAACATAAATTTGTTTTTTTTTAACAGCAACAAAAGAATCTTGAAGGATATGTGGGATTTGCAAATCTCCCCAATCAAGTGTACAGAAAGTCTGTGAAGAGGGGGTTCGAATTCACATTGATGGTTGTAGGTAAGAATTCAGAATGTAATGAATTCAGTAATTGCTAGTTGTTTTTGCTTAATTTGATACCTCTGCTGCTTTAAGGAATAATGGCAATGTTTGGCCAGCAGCTATTTTTAAATTGTATGTTCTGTGTCTCATAATGACTCATCCTATGGTAAACAAAATTTTAACTCAAGAAAAAAATGGCAGGCCAGCAAATGTTTATAATGCCTTGTTTTGAGATAAAGTAGTAATATACTGTGCAGCTATTAAATCAGTAATCTATTATGTAATGCAGTGAAGCTAACTAATTCCTGATAATACAAAGATTATTTTGGAAGCCTGTAGTAAAGTCAGAAATTTAAGGGAATTTCATATTGCATCAATGCACAGTTAGACATTGCATCAATTTATCACCTCCTCCACCATGAAATTGAATGAATTATGCATGAATTTCACTATGAACGTTGAATTGTTCCGTTGAATTGAGGAGTCCTGTAGCTCAGTGGTTAGAGCACTCGCCTCGCAAGTGAGAGACATGGGTTCGTTTCCCAGCAGGTGAAACCATGGGCAAGTTTCCTTACTCTACACACCTGATAATAATCCCTCAAGAAAAAAAACAATAATACAATTGGTTGCTTCAATCCACAACTGTTTGTGGGACACTGCTGTGTGCAATTGGCTGCCGCGTTTCGCCCACAAATATACAGTCAATTCACTTTACTGTGTATTCTGTGAAGCGCTTTGGACGTCTAGAAGATGTGAAAAGTGCTATATCAAATGAAAGGATTGTTATTTATATTGTTAATTGTACAGATGCGACTTGCTGATCATTTATTTTTCTGTCAACTTGAGTCCCACTGTGTGTCTTGTACCACATATTGGCTGTTGACTTATCTAAACTAATACAATACAGTGGCCTTTGTTTTGTTGGAACATGAACAATGAGGGGAAAAGAAGAATTATTTGTGATGGTTCTCTATTGTGCATTCATTGGCAGTGGCGGTATTCAGTGCCAAACTGGATTGGCTATTGTGCCCTGTGTTGAATTGTAGGTGTAAGTATAGCTCAGCTGGTAGCACTCTTGCCTTTGGGTCACAAGGTTATGGGTTCAAGCTGCACATCGAGACTTGAGCTAATAGTCTGGACTGATACTGGTGGTCTGGAACATTGCATTGATGTGGGTACTATTCTCTGATGAGTAGTTAAACCGAGGTTCTGTCCACCTGTTGAGGTGGGCATTAAAGGTCTCTTGACACTATTTGAAAACAGGAATTGCTCTCAGGGTAACAATAAATTGATCATTCATTGCTGTGTGCAAAATGGGTTCAATGGTTGGCTACTTGACAATAATTGATATAAATGTATTCTAGAAAATTATTAAGCAACAATTTCAAATGTATCTGTTCTAACCCAAATATTAAAATTGTTACAATTCTTAAAATGTTTAAATGGCTACTGTTATTGGTGTATATGTTTGTGGTTGGTGTTCAATTTAGGAATTCACTGCAAAGAAGCAATCAATGTTTACATCAATGCAGTATAATAAACTACTTGGTAGTAATTATAAGACTGACTTAATTAGGGTTTGAATGATTTCCTAAATCATGGCAAAGCTTATGTAAATCATGAAATTATGTAGTGTGTGATGATCTACTTGCATATACAACATCTTAATTGATTAAATATAGATGGATACTTAACACGCATTTGGGCAGCAAATGAAAGCTCCCATCATTGTGTTAGCAGGAGTGCTGTTGGAGCAATGCTGACATTGAACAACTGTAAAGAACCTGAAAAAAAATTAAGAGGCTGAAACTGATCCAGCATTATTATAATGACCTATTGTGTGATATTTCTATTGCGGAGTTTGGGAGAGGCAGATCAAGTTGAAGGATTTGATTTCCAGCATTGACCTTCAGATTGATCTGCTTCAGTTTTCACATACAGTAATGATTTCCTTCTAAAAATAGATATAAACCTACTGGATCTATATCTTTATGTTTGGCGTAATGTTAAATATTAGCTGTTTAGTGACTTGCATAACTGGATACAAAACTATTGTGATTGAATTAGTATTTCTCTTTGTAACTTACATTACATATCAAGCAAGCACTGATGCCAGGAAAATATTACTCATTTGTATTTTTAAAAAGCCATTAATAACATTTAAAGATTTGCTCCAATATGTACACTTTTATTAGGCAGCCCAGTATATAATACACGAAGTTGTGAAAATGTGATCAACTTACAATAATAATAATCCTTGCATTTGATATAACGCCTTTTACGTCAGGAGGATGTCTCAAAGCGCTTCACAGGATTTACTACAGTATATTGTGTGTATTGTAAGTGAAGGCCATGGAGTGAATGACAAATTGTATCTGGGGGATTGTTGGCCAGGCCACCAGAAGAAAACTCCTCTTTTTGAATAGTGCATGGGAACGATGATGTCCACCTCAACAGACAGATGGTATCTCAGTTTAATATCTCATCCAAGGCAAGATTTGTACCAGCTGAGCTAAACGTGTAGCTACCATTCAACAACGTGCACAATAGCCAATCTAACCTTTAATGTTAAAAGCTATATCTACAGCTAACAGATCAAAGCGTGGCTAAGGTTGTTTGGATTTTATAAACTTTTCATGTTTATACATTTCAGAAATAATTGTCTGATTCAAAAATATCCTAAGGTAATGATTTAATCATTAGTCTCATGTTCTATACTCTCTGTATCAAGCGCCCCGGGACCCTACCCTGTGTGGATGGTACTACATAAATGCAAGTTGTTGTATCGTCAGCTAATAAACTAGATCGTCATGATTGGACTTCTGGCAGTTTGAAATAGACGGTATAAATTCAATTATTTTCCCTGTTTATATTTGATAGGTTCTTGACTATAAAGCACAGTTATATATTAGGGAAGGATTTTAAGTTATGAATGAAACTGAAGGCAGAATAATATGGGGTGCAAATAGAAGGAATAATGGGGATTTGAAAGCTCTTCATTTGAAAGCTATTGAAGCGATGGAGGTTGATTTAATGAATTGGTTATTCATCTCTACTGTTTGTAAGACTGTTGGTCGAGATTAGCTGTTGTCACTACACTCATATCGTTTCGCCTACAAAATGCACAATCAATCCACTTTACAGTATATTCTGTGAAAATCGTTTGAGACTTCTCGAAGACGTAATAAGGCGCTATATCAAATGCAATAATTATTGTTATAATAATAATTATAAGATACACTTGGATGTTTAAGCACTCTGTGACGCCACCTTGCTTGAGGGTAAACAACAACTTGCATTTGTCCCCTGAAAAGTAAAAAATGCAAGTTGTTGTTCAGACAAGATGATGCACTTGATTTTTTAAATCTTACAGGAGGCAAATAAAATGCTCAAGGTGCATATTGTCTTGGGAGATCAGTGGACATTAATTCTTAGGTCAGCAGGGTGACTTGGTCTGGCTGCAGATATCTCTACAACTGTTTGTGGTTCAAATGATATAACTGATAGTTAGCCAATTGTAACAAACGAGAATGATTGGAATCCCTGTAAGGCAGCTTGTTGGGAGTTGAGATTTGACTACTTTAATTCTAGGCCTTTGGACTATTTTTTCTGCAGTGTTGCGGTTAAAGTACTCTTTTCAGGGGATAGGAAACCCTACTCTGGTTTTGTTTTCAGTGCACCAAACTTGACTGTTCTAATTCTAATACTAATTTGATATTATCCCTTTCACATTGGGTGGGCATCTCAAAATGCTTCACAAGTTTTACTGCAAATTGTAGCGACTGTGTACTTCATATTTCTTGGTGCCAATGTTAAATTCCAGATTTCTGTGCTGTTCTGAATGCACAGTTTGAAGCGAGGTTAGCCTAACTTTGCATCATGCCAATTCAACATAGAATTTGTTGCTGAACTTTTAATTTAATCTTTAAGAGAACAGTTGTAAGTAAAGTATTTCTTTCTCAATTATCATAAAATGTTTCTTTTGGCACTGGATCGTGTTCTTTGGGTGGGAAAGCTTCCTGCTTTCATTTTTCAGAAATCACACTTGAGATGTTAGACAATTTAAGTGGAGGAAAAACAAAGCTGGGGTAATTCCTGTTAAATGATGGCTACAAACCAGCTGCTGCGAGGTGGCTTATGGTATATATTTAAAAGTCCAATCTTTTAGGATTAATTAAAATTTAAGATTGATTAATTTAATCTTACTAAATTAAGATTTGCCAAACAATGCTTTTCAATGGCAAGCTATGTGGTTTTAGCTGTTTGAACTCCAGGAGTTCGCCAACTCACAATCTGGTGTCCCCAAGCCTTGGCTCTTGCCAACATACTCTCTGGATTTAGGTCATTGGGGTGCGGCCCTCCTGTGAGACCGTATCATTCCAATTCATGATGATTTCCATGTGTAGGTGGGATGCACATAACTCTTGTTTGGTTTGGATATTCTTAAGCAAGGTGATGGGTTTCTGCAGTTGTACCTGACTGACCAATACAAAATGAATTGGGATTCCTAGTTAAACCACTTGCTTTAGCCATTCTTCACTTTATCTGTTCTGTGCTGGCAAAGGCAACACTCTGGTTGCTGAATTAACTACCAATGCTCATGTTTATTTAAAAAAAAGATTTGGTCACTCAATCCACAACTGTTTGTGGGACACTGCTGTGCGCAATTGGCTGCTCCATTTTGCCCACAAATATACAGTCAATTCACTTAACAGTATATTCTGTGAAGCGCTTTGAGATGTCTATAAGACGTGAAAAGTGCTATATCAAATGCAAGGATTATTATTATTTGTTCATTACTATACTGGCAAAGAGTAAATTGGCAATAGATAAGCTGCAAGGATGTAATTTTCGTCGTCAGTGGAATATTTTCCAGGAGGTGGACTTTCACCAAGATTCCTTGAGATGCCAATTGGGTCTAATAGCCAGTTGTCAGCAGCTCCATGATCTCCCAATCCAAAACTACACTAGTAGTTGGATGCTGGCCACATGGTCTGGCACAAACAGTTGAGTATCTT